CACTCAACTCTGGGCATGGCTCCATGTAGTGACGACACGGATGGCGCAGCCCACCCCCGCGCAAACTCCGGGGGCCTGACGCGCACCCCGATGCCCTGCTTGACGTGCCCATACGATATATAAGTGTTTAAGAAATTCTCGCCGAGTTGAGTTGCAATCTCGAAGAGTCGTTCAACAATTCCCTCGGCGTGCTGGATATCATTCGAGACCTGCTGGGCCCTCTGCTCGACGAGGACCTGCTGCTCCTCGAAGGGCATGGCGATGCCCAGCACGCCGCGCTGTTTCGGCCACTCCAAACTGCGGGCGCCCGCCGAGAAGGCCTCGACATTCAGCGTGACCTCGGGCCCGAGATGCCCCGGGCACTTCGGATCTCGAAATAATTGGAAGTGGAGCGCGATCGAGTTGGCGCTCTCATTTGCAATGATACAGTCCACCCTGGACGCGTGCTCGCCGCGTCCGCAGCGATTCCAAGTGGGGTCGCGCCCGTCGGTCACGGCCTCGTGATCGCGGTGCCCGCTGGCCACGTTGCCCCATCCGGCCCCCTGGGTGACCCAGCTCATGTATTTCGAGCCCATGGGCTCGCACCGGGCGCCCACTGTCACAGGATAAGGGGCAGCCGCGCCTCAGAGGGCAGTTGCCTAACACGCATCTGCGTAGAGGCCCTCAGCCGACGCGCCTGCGACGCCGTGGACTGTGGCGAGGCAACAGCCCGCGACGCGCTGGCCCTGGCTGTTCGGGATGGGGGCGAATACTTCTGTCCACCGCTGGGCAGCCAAGAGCCTCGTGGATAGGGCGATTGGCGTCGGCGGGTCCAAAATGGAACGGCAGCGGGGGTGGCGACGGCAACGCCGCCGCGCCCTGCCTGGGCCCCCATGGCGACGCACTGGCGGTTGCCCTTCTTGGCAAAGGTTCACGGAGCACCTGGATCGAGAAGCGGGCCCCAGAAAACCTTCCACCCGCGCCGATCGAGCAGCTTGTTGAAGTCTGGAATGTATGTGTATATATATATATATGTATGTCTATCTCTCTCTCTCTTTCTCTCTCTCTTTCTCTCTCTCTCTCTCTCTCTCTCTCTTTTTCTCTCTCTCTCTTTTTTTCTCTCTCTCTCTCTCTCTCTCTCTCTCTCTCTCTCTCTCTCTCTCTCTCTCTCTCTCTCTCTCTCTCTCTCTCTCTCTCTCTCTCTCTCTCCTCTCTGGACACGTCGCGCCTCCCGCGGCGCCGCCGCGGCCGCTCCGCGATAGCCGAGCGCCGCAAGTAGCCCACAATGCGCCTGCGGCGACGTCTCATTCAGAGAAATTTGCGCTGCTCGGGTCCATCTCCAAGGGAAGCGTCAGAGCGCGCCCGCGCGCGGTGCCCCGCGCAAAGGCCCACCTTGAGCGCACGACTGAGGGTCCAGAATATGACTGCGCGCCCTGGCCACCACCGCGGGGACTGCGCCCCCCCGGCGAGCGAGGAGCGCACCAATTGAAACGATCCTGCCATCGGCAGAAGAAGCCGCCGGCGCACAGGGTGGCATGACAACGCGGCGACTGTGCCGAGGTAGCGCTCGAAGAGCGCGCCACCGCCGGCGGTTCTGACCTCGGCAAAACATGGCAATTGTGAACGCGGGCGAGGAAGCGCGGCGGCGGGGCCGAGATGGCGCTCGAGGGGCACGTCACCATCGGCGGGTCTGACTTCAGGAAATCGTGGCCCAGGTAGAAGTTGCGCTGGCACTCCTCGCCGTCGTAGTAGCTGCCCCGACTGCGCACTGGCAACTTCGGGGATCTGGTAGTGGCGCACAAGACTGAGCACAGCCATCCCGCTCGCCGCAGCACCCACACGCCCGCGCCTGCCGTTCGCCTCCAAGTAGACGATCGCCAGCAGCGCGATCACGCCCCCGATCTTTAGATCGAACTTCCGATCGAAAGGTGGGACATACCTTCCCTGGGCACCCTCAGCTCTGTCGAGAATTCTTGGTCGAAGGGGCCTGCCAGCGCTCCCCGTGGGTTCATCTTCTTCAGAATCTGAGCGAGAATGGCCTGCGGCGCGGTCTGGTTGCTGGCGATCGTCTCGTTGATGTTTGCGTTCTACTACCTGAACTCGGCGATGGCCGTCTCCGTCTGCACGGCGGCGGCGGCGCAAGCTTTTTGCCGAGCTCGGAGGAGGCGGCGGCCCGCCTGGCAACGGAGGTCTCCACGCCCTCCATGGCGGCGGCCTGCTGTCGCGCACTCGCTTCTGATGCTTCCAGCCGTTCATGTTCTGCGCCTGGCAGCCAGGCCAGAAATGGCACCGGGGGTTCACGCATGTGGTCAATTTCCAGATGGTTGCCTAGGTCCTTCGACGCCGCCAGCGCCCCTGGCGGCTTGCCCTGCAGAGCCGCCATCCAAGATGGCGCGATGGTTGCTGAGCCCGCGGGGGGCGGCGGCGGCGGCTGCTAACGCCACTGCAGGCCCCACCGCTGGCTCGATGCCCCTGGCCGCCGCCGCGTTGCCCGGGGCGACTCCGCAACGACGGCTAAGTGTCGGAGCGCGCAATGTCGAAATTGATCATCTCGTCGGGATCGTAGCCGACGCGACACGGACGACGCTGGCAGCCCACCCTACCGACTGGGCGGCACCTGAGACCTGACCATTGGTGGCGCTGCCGTTCGGAACGCCTTCGATGCGCCACTTGCGAATGGCGGGCGCAATGGCAGAGCCGCCGCCGCGCGTAGCACGCATAGCCCGAGCTGTGGGCGATCTCCTTTCGCGATGCCCAGGACGGCCTCGTGCGTTTTGGCCATGGAGTGCGCGCGTTGAGCGGGGGGGGGGTCATTTTGAACCATATTGATCGGACCCGCTGCTCATCTTGCTCTTGCTTCTCAGACTCGGCGCCGATGTAGGGAAAAGTGAATGCGATGCCCTGGAAGCCTGCGCACTTGAATAGAACGTGTTCAAGGCCCTCTCTGGTGGCGAAGATGGCCCCTAGCGCGCGCTGGCCAACAGCGCCTCTTGCGCGCAGTAGCCTGCCAGCTTCACCCAGCAGCTCGACCTCGTAGCAGATGGAATTCCTTGTGGGCCTGATCACATCACGCAGGCCCACGTCGAGAGACAGCTGGGCATCAAAACTACGGGCCTGCTTCCACCGCTCGTTTGCCGTGCTGCCTAAACTGTCCTGCTGCTTCTAGCACCCGATCACGATGGGCATGGCGCCACTGAACCGACTGGTGAAGAAGTCCTTGGTCGATGGATTGGCTAGCATGGCATCGGCCTCGTGCACCGTGATGCCCATGAACAAGGAGTTGCCACCAGCGGCGTCGAGCTGGGTTATGTTGTCCTTCGGGTTGACCTCTGTGCCACCGAACTTTTAGATGATTCCTTCCCTGAACGTTGTCTTCGGAGCCTGAGCTCCCTGGGGGACCTTCAGGACAAGAATTTAGATCTTCGCGTGGGTCCACTGCCCGTTGCCTGTGCCAGGGGCGATGGTAGCCAAGGGCTCTTTCTGGCGACGGAGGGCGGAGCACCACTCCTCAGCGTCCACTATGGAGTGCAGCGAGACCGAGGCCTCGGATTCTCCATTGGGGAGCTTGTCCGGGGCCTGGGCGATCGGGGGCGTCTCGACGTGTTCGTCGAGGGCGATGGGCATGTCCCCACCTGGCCTCTCCGTTTGCATTTGGTTGTCGTTCCACTCGTGGTCCCGTCGGTCACAGCACTGGCACTCGCAACGCGCCGATGGCGATCGTGAGACCAAGATACCTTGCATTTTGTCAAGAGCATCTGCACTGCACCCAACTGCTTGTCATCAGGGGCCGTGGCCAAAAAATAGGTCCAGCCCCGCTCGATCTTCGTGGGTGAACTCATTTAGGAGGCAACTACTGGGAGGCTTTCGTCGGAAGGATTAAAAAGGATTAAGCCCCATTGGGGGGCTGTTACGCCTGAATGGGCCTCGGAGTAAGCCAGCTTAAGCGGGATTAAGAGGGATTAAGCCGGACTAAGCGGGATCAAGCCGGATTACGGACCAGGGCAAAATCAGAGTTTGACCTCCCAGGATTCGCATCCGAAACTCATTATACGCTGCGGTGGCTCGATCACCCCCAGCATCTTGAATCAACTTCACAACCTTTGTTTGGCGAGCTCCTGGCCCGCTGATATTCGTCTGCTGTCCTTTCTCCATCGCAGTTATGTCGGATGAAAGAAACTCTTCCAGACCACTGCACACCCGATCTTCAGCAACGCAATCATTGACGGTACCGCCACGAGTACGTTAGACGGACTCTGAGGGCAGATCGGATGGGTTGCGCTCGCTCGCTCCCAAGCAAGCTCGAGCCCATACGGTACTGATTATGATGGTGGTTATACTGATAATGATGATGATGATGATGATGATGATACTGATGATGATGATGATGATGACGATGATGATGATGATGATGATGATGATGATGATGATGATACAGATACTGATGATGCTCATAATGTTGATGATGATGGTGATGATGATGATGACAATGCTGCTGTTGCGAATGGTGACGATGGTTATAGTGATTATGATGATTTTGATGATGATGATGATGATGCTGATGGTGAAGATGATGATAATGATGATGATGATGACGACGATGATGACGATGATGATGACGACGATGGTGATGATGCTGCTGATGATGGTGAGAAAGGGAATGAGGATGATGATTGGGATGATGATGGTAATGATGGTGGCAATGCTGATGATGATGGTGGTGATGATGATGAGGATGGTGATGACGATGAAGGTGATATTGACAATGAAGATGACAATGACAATGACGACGACAACAACGAAGGTGACGAAGGAGGAGGGAGGAGGGAGGAGGAGGGAGGATGAGGTAGGAGGGGGAAGAGAAGGAGATGGGAGGGAAGAGGGAGAGGAAGCGGATGAGGGAGGGAGGAAGGGATAATTAAGAGGAGCGACATCCAAAGGAGGAGGAGGAGTAGGACGAAGAGGAGGAGGGAGCAGTGAGGGACGCTGGCCGCCGCCGCCCGTCCGCCCGCCCGGGCTGGCGCCTCGCCGCCTGGGCCACCGCCGGCGAGCGCCAGCGCGAGGCGCGCGGCCGCCGCGGCGGCGGCCACCGGCGCGGACGCCTTCGGGGCGCCGCCGCCCGCCTCCGTCGTCGGTCGCCCCCCTTCTCGTCACTGGTCGCCGGTCTTCCTCGCCATCGCTCGTCGCTCGTCGTCGTCCTCGGCGGTCGTGCAGGGACCTGCGAGAACCTCCGGGGGGCCTCTGGGAACCTCCGAGGGCCTGTTGCGGCAGGTTCGTGTCGTGACGACTTCGGTGTTGGTCTCTGACACAGCGGAGATCTTTCAACCCTGAACGATCGGCCGTTTACGAAGCGTCGAATTATTCATCATCGACTGATTCTATGTCGCCGGCGGCGCTCAACGTTGATTGCTGGCAACGATGTCGCCGCTGCGCCGACACGACGCAAACCTTCCGTACGCTTACGTCGTCCTCTGACGGCCGCCAATCGGGGCACTGTCGACCTCAAGCCGCTGGAGAGCGTCCCCGGCATCCGCACACCTCGGTGCCGCCGTCTCGCAGGACGACAACAGCCGCACACCGACACCCACGTCGCCTGGGCCAATCCTGGGTCCGAGGTCGGTGCGAGCGTCTTTCCCAGGCGCAGCCAGGACGGCGCATGCACCACCGACCCAGGGCCCACAAGGCCGATCGCACTGGAACGTGCGTCGACTCGGGCTGCACCTGCACGACGTCGGACTCGAATCGGATCGGCTGCGCCAGGGTGCACAAACCGCGCCATGCAAGCATCCGTATATAACCCGAGACGTAGATCGGCCACGTCCTCCTACAGGCGGATTTTGGAAGAAAATAATCAAAAAGTGCTCAGAGATACTGAAAAAAACGAAGAATCTTCCCCAGACTATTATTTGACTATTCTTGAACACTCCTCCTGCAAAGGGGCATGCCCGACTGAGTGCTAGCGGTTCCCGCCCTGCACCCCAGCAACTGGAGGCCCCCTCCTTCTCTTGCATCAAGTCTCGAGCGAGAAGAGAAAGAGGCTACGCGTTCTTCACCCCCATGGGGGCTCTCTTCGGGCCAAGTGGCCCTTGGTTCCGCGTCGAACGAGCATCGTCAACGATGGGACGGGAGCCGGAGCGGAGAAATTGAAGGGGCCCTGGGACACATAAATAAGTACACACAAAAAACAGGATGGATTCCCCATCTTTTCCCATATTTTCTCGGTTTTGTCTTCCCCCCACTTCCCATATTTTCCCATACTTCCTGGGGAATGAACGATTCATTGCGTCTGTGTGTTTTTTTCCCCTCCTGAAACATGCAGTGCACAATGAGAGTTGCTAAAAAACACCTCCTCGGGCTGCAGGACCAAAGGACAGAGAGGGCACAGACAGAAACCTTCGGAGCTCCTCGCGGGTTTCTCTTGAACAACGCGGACCCCCTCCCTGGCGCGCGGAGCGCGTCAGGGAGCGCCAGGGTCGGTGCTGGAGGAAGCGCCGAGGGCGCCCGGCGCCGATCCAAGACATCTGCGCGGAACCCCGAACTTCTGTTTAGGTCGGGCATGCCCTCCGACCAGGCGGATTTTCGAAGAAGCACAACAACAACATTCGACAAATACTCAACAATAGTTCGAAAATAGTCGAAACTATGTTTTGACCACTCTTGAATCTTCCTCCTGTAAAAGGACATGGCCGACTCAAGTGAGCGTTTTTTTGTTCGGCGCTTCGACGTTGGGCGGCAAGGGGGGAGGGGGGGGTCTGGGTCAAGACCTCTGCTTAGCGCGACTGTTCGCAAGCGTGCGGCCTCTGGGGGACTCCAGCCGCTCGAAACAGGCGCCAAACGACAGCCAAGATCTACTCCACGGGGGGGGGGAGTTGGGGGCCCGCGCCGATCGGCAAACCGATGAATAAAACAACGATCACGAACCCGAAAGCATGTTTATGCTCTGTTCCAGGGCTGTACCTAAACGGTGCTTGTTCCTTCTCGTGTTGCTTTCGTTGTCCTCCGCTTTTGTCTCGAACCCGCCATGACCGCAAAACGACGTCGAAACGAAAACGGCCAATGACATCACCAAAAACACCTTTTATAACCAGCCTCGAACTTATCCATATCCTTAAGATTGACACGCCCAAAGGCGATGACAATCTTAGGGATGCACCCCCAGAAACTGAGGGAATCCCTAAGATCGCCATCGTGACGAGGCGATGCCCAACATAGGGATAGGGATAGGTTCCAAGCTGGTAAGTTTAAGCTCAGCTCTGCTCTATACCTCCCTACCTCGAGGCTCTCCCTCCCTGGGGCTCCTCGGCCTCCGGGGCCGCCGGGAGGCGTGCCCCCGGAGAGAAGGGCGGGCCCCACGGGTGCCAAAGGGAGGGGGGGCTCCTCGCGGGCTCCGTGGCCGTAGAGAGGATGCCCAGGGCTGGTGTCAGTGAAGGGGCCCTGGGGCACACAAATAGATACACACACAAATAGCAGGATTCTCCATATTTTCCCGCATTTCCCTGGGTTATTGTCTTCCCCCCACTTCCCATATCTTCCCATATTTTCCTCGGGATCGACGATGAATTGTGTCTGTGTTTTTTCCCTCATGAGTTAGGTCGGGTATGTCCCCGTACAGGCAGAAATTGGACAAATGATAAAACCTAGTCAAAACATGCTCAACCATGTTCAGAAAATAAAAAAATCGCCCCCTGACTATTTTTGACCATTTTTGAATATTCCTCCTCCTGTAGGGGGACATGCCCGACTTAAGGCTAATGGCAGAGCCCCGCGAGAGAGGATCACGAGGCCCGGGGGCTGCGCATGGAGGAGAAGAGCACTGCGCAAGAGGCAGGAGAGCCCAGAGTCGAATCGATAAATCAGAACGGCGATCGGCATGAGTCGCGTCGGCGGAAATCGGCCGCTCAGTCCCGAGGAGTCAAATCGGCAGGAAAGTAACGCCTCTAATTAGGGAAACGAACTCTATACACCGACGCTGTTTCTGGCCCTTTGCGGAAAATTGCAGCCAGGACAGGGGATCCTGCTGTATACGGGATCCTACTGTATACATGTTCCGCTGTTTCCCCAGGAAATCGGTGAACAAAAATATACACCACAACACCCCGACGTCCTCCCCGACCCTCAGAAAATCCTGGGACGGGAAAACAGCCTGGCGCTGGGAATGCATATGCTCCGGCTTCCGACTAGTCAGAAGCCGCAATCCAGATCGGCATAACAGCATCGAATCGAATCGGAATCGGCATCGACCGAGGTCAAACTGCACCGAGCCAGAGGAGTCCAAAGGAGCCCCGAGAGGCCTGGAACCGAGAGCCTGCTGCCCTCGGGGCATCGGTCCCCGCCGCCCCGCGGCGAGCGCCGAGCTCCTGCTGGCAGAGCAGGGCCGCAGGCCCTCCGACAAAAAAGCACGCGAGGAGCCTCAGAGGCACGGCCACCGTGCCACCACAGAGAGCCGCCCGAAAACTGGAGCCCACTGCTGAGCCCGGAGAAGTTCACGTGAGCAAAGATCCGCAACGGGCATCACGCGGGATGGCGCAGCGACCTCACGCAGCAGCTAACGCGGGCCGCCAGCGCGGCACGCTGCATTGGAGACGAGGGTGCCTCCGCGGGACCTTACGCGGGGCGCCAATGTCGGTGCAATCGATTCCATCTCTTTGCGTCGTTCATATGTACTGTACCTTCGAAAACGTGGCGCCCCCCATTCGTCCCCTCCCCGACATCTCGCCCTCCTCCCCTCAGCGCGCGGGACGAGGAGGCAGGGATGAGGGAGGAGCAGAAAGATTAGCAAGGAACGAGGGGGAGGATCGAGGAGAGCGGAAGCGGAGAGCGGAAGCAGAAGGACACATCACTCGACATCTCGAGTTTGCAGAATCGTGGGCCCATGCAATCTCTTGGGCCATCTTCCACCCCGAACAGTGGATGTGTTTCCCCAACCCTGCGGTGGATGCGTCCTCGTTTGGATATGTGGCCACTTTCGTGATCCTGGGAAATCCGCAAACCCTTAGGGGACCTCTCCTCCCAAGGCTCTGCCGACTGCACAACTGTCACCGCTTCCGTGAGCTCACAGGAGGTCCGGCGGAGTGACGTCTTACGCATGCAAGGAGCTTCCCTTCGGCGTCGCCTTGCCTAGGATTCTTGGGGCGCGGCATGCAGAGGTTCCCCATGCACCTCGCAGAAGGCACAACGCGCCCTTGCGAATGCCCGTTCGTCTCGGATGAGCCCGTTGACGTAGCGACATGTCGCAGACCTCTCGACCGACTGATGACACGCACGCGAGTCCGCGGATGCGCGGCGCGCAGGGCGCATCAAGCCATTTCTGCCACCCCGTGGGCAAAGCTGGCCCGGAGGCGGGTGGCACCTTCGATGATGGGCCGGTGTTCCACCACCACTACCATAGGTAGGAGAGGGAGGAGGAGAGAGAGGAGAAGGAGGAGGAGGAGGAGGAGGAGGAGGAGGAGAAGGAGTAGGAGGAGGCGGAGGAGGACGAGGAGGAAGAGGAGGAGGAGGCCCTCCTCCTTCTCCCCCGTCCTACATATGGTGGCGGTGGTGGAAAATTGGCCCATCGTCCGATAGTGCCTGAAAGAATTTGACGTGTGGCATCTCCGCCAGCCATGCGTGCAGGGATGCTGAGCGACTCTCGGCCTCCCCAAGCATTGCGTCCGCGCTCCCGAGGCCCGCCAACCGTTGCTCGCAAAAGCATCGATTGCGAAATGTGCATTCGGGTCGCCAGAGGTCCCCAGGGTTTAACAGTCGCCAACAAACGTCTGCAAATATCATTCCGCCTTCTGATCCTGCGACTCCTCCTCCTCCCTCCTCCTCCTCCTCCTCCTCCTCCTCCTCCTCCTCCTCCTCCTCCTCCTCCTCCTCCTCCTCCTCCTCCTCCTCCTCGTCCTCCTCATCCTCCTCCGCCTCCTCCTCCGCCTCCGCCTCCTCCTCCTCCTCCTCATCCTCCCCTGCACGCGCGGGAGGGCGCGCGGGGGAGGAGGAGGAGGAGGAGGAGGAGGAGGAGGAGGAGGAGGAGGAGGAGGAGGGCGGATTGGAGTGCACGCAGAGGAGGAAGAGGAGGACGTGGAGGACAAGGTGGAGGAGAGGGAGGAGGGAGAGGGGGAGGTGGTGCAGGTGGAAGGAGGAGGATGGAGTAGGGAGAGGAGGAGGAGGACGAGGAGGACCAGTGTAAACCCAAGACGCATCAACGGTGCTACAATAGAACCTCCACCAAAGCTTCCTCTCCATAGGCCCCTACAGAAAATTAGTTTGATCGCGCGAAGTGCCCCATTGAAAGACATGCGTCTGACAATCCTCCATCGTGGCAAAACACCATTCCTAGGACTTCAACGCCGAGTGTGGACTTGACTACAGCGCTCTGACAATCCTAGATCGTGCTAGAAAACTACTCCTGGGATTTCAACACCGCGCACCAATTACCACTTCGTCCTGACAGTCCGAACTCGTGCTACACCGCCAGCGTCGGGACTTCAGACATACTTACACTTGGAACTGCCTAAAAATGTACCCAATAATCGCAGACTAAAGCGACAACCACAACTTGAAAGGACCCACCCTCCTTCCTTGAATGTGCGAAATACGTGTAATGCGAATGCGCGCGGCTCTAAGTTGAGAGCCATATGTTTAAAACCAACTGGCCTGTACTCATGAAACTCTTGCACTATTTCAAAAAAAGGAACGTGGCACTGAAGCGGGGCCACACGTTGAAAACCGCCCGCCCTCCATCATCGAAATTGCTGCCAACGTCAAACTTCATTGAAATTGCTGCACATGTTGAAAACCACCCGCCCTCCATCATTGAAAAAACACCATGCCCGCACTACCGACACGTCTGGGGGTGCGACAGGGAGGAGTAATTGGTCAGCAAGAGAGATGTAGGAGGAGGAAAGAAGGATGAGGGAGAAGAAGGCACGGGAACCCCTCGGGCTGCGCTGGGGCCTTCTTGGGGCTCTGGGCTGCGTCGCTCAGCGCGGAGCCCAGGGACTTCAGCGCGCGCAGGGTGTCCGCGCAGGTGATGCGCTCGCGGACGGCCTGGGAACCCGCCCAGACCTCCAGCGTCACGAACAAACTGCAACGGCTGTTCCTGTTCGCAGCTTCCGGCTGCTGGGCCTCTCTCGGGCCCCACGAAGGCCAACATCAAAAGAAGTGATCAAGAAACCGTCCCAGGAGGGAGCGCGATCCACTGTCGCCGGCCTGAAACAAATCATCGGGGGGTCTCAGACACCGCCCCCGCCCCCCCCCCCGCCGAAACGAATCCGAAGGGTGGGCCTCAGAAGCCGGGGAACACACCTCCCCCCACCCCCAAGCCCCAAAAGCCCCGCCTCCTCACCCCCCCTCCCCAGAGGAGGAAACGAGCCGGGAGGTCCCGAAGCTCTCCCCCCGCCCCTTGCGCAAAGGAGTAGGAGGTGGAGGAGGAGGTGGAGGAGGTGGAGGAGGAGGAGGAGGTGGAGGAGGTGGAGGAGGAGGAGGTGGAGGAAGGAGGTGGAAGGGGGGGCGAACGCTGCCCCGCCCCACCCCCGCACCACATCGCCGCCGATGCCACCACTCTCGCCGCGCCGCCATCGCAGGGCGTCTTTGTCGCCGTCTTCGTCGTCTTCGTCGTCGTCGTCGCCACCACGCCCCCCCCCACCACGCCCCGACCCCCCCCCCACCTGCACCCAACGCAAGGGGGGAGGGGGGCAGCGGTCCCCCCACCCGTCGCCGTCGTCGCCGCCACCGCCGCCGCCGTCGTCGTCGCCGCCGCCGCCGTCGTCGGTGTCGTCGGCGTCGTCTTCGCCACCACGGGCAGGACCAGAATCCCAAATTGGGTCACATCCACCACGGGACGAAGCCAGGCCCCAATTAGATCACGTCCACCACCGCCGACCTATCCCAACCGACTCGTAACAAATCCAAACGAGCGGTACAAATTCCAAAACCTACCAGCACCTATTACAACCAGCCAGAAGAGCCGCACATTAGGATTCGATGTGTGAAAAGTTAAAACAATTCAATATCAAATGCAGCTCTTGAGGAGGAGATGGAGGAGGTGGAGGAGGAGGAGGAGGTGGAGGTGGAGGAGGAGGAGGAGGTGGAGGAAGGGGGTGGGGGGGGGGGGGGGGCGAACGCGGCCCCCCCCCACCCCCGCACCACGTCGCCGCCGTCGCCGCCACTCTCGCCGCGCCGCCGTCGCAGGGCCTCTTTGTCGCCCTCGTCGTCGTCGTCGTCGTCGTCGTCGTCGCCACCGTCGCCCCCCCCCCACGCCCCGACCCTCCCCCCCCCTGCACCCAGCGCAAGGGGGGAGGGGGGCAACGGTCCCCCCACCCGTCGCCGTCGTCGCCGCCAGCGTCGCCGCCGCTGTCGTCGTCGCCGCCGCCGTCGTCGTCGTCGTCGCCACCACGGGCCAAAGCCAGAATCCCAAGTTGATCACATCCACCACGGGCCAGTGCCAGGCCCCAATTAGGTCACGTCCACTACCGCTGCCACCGCCGCCGTTGTCGTCGTGGCCGTCGCCGCCGTCGCAGTCTTCGTCGTTGTGGTCGTAGTCGTGGTCGCCGTTGTCGTCGTCACCACAGCGACCAGACTGGAATCCCAAATTGGATCACATCCACCACGGGACGGAGCCAGGCCCCAATCAGATCATGTCCACCACCGCCGACCTATCCCAACCGACTGGTACCGAATCCAAACGAATGGCACAAATTCCAGCAGCCGCAAAACCTACCAGCACCAGTTACAACCAGCCAGAAGAGCCGCACACTAGGATTCGATGTGTGAAGAGTTAAAACCATTCAATATAACATGCAGCTCTTGAGATACCAAAATTACGTATTCGGGCAAACAACGTGAGCGCCAGACCTGGAATTGGCACTAGTCTACTTCTGGCATATGTGAGTTGTTGTTTTTTTTTGAGAATGGGCAACGGTCGCCAATTATTCCTGGAGCTACACGGCTACCATAAGAGAGCTCGATAGAGTTCGGACGACAAGTGCGTAATGTGTCGCAATGGTTGGTTTCCATTTGAGCATTGTACAATTTGCGTGTGAGTGCTGCGGGGGCGCCATCAGCGCGCAGAAGAATACTCACATATGAACACCAAATGTTCGTCCGAGAACTGGAAAACCGGGAATTCCTATGCACAGGTAGTGGGAGATAAAAAGCAGACGTCACGCGCGCAAGTTTCGCAGAAGAGCTGTTGCATGGCAAGTGGGAACTCGAGGGTGTTGGTCATGTGGCGTGGCGTCGGTGTGACCTGCGCGTGGCGTTGTTGTTTATGCAGCGTTTCTAAGTAAGATGCCCCATATGCAGTCTGCATAGTTCCGAATGTGGTGACACTTGTACAGGTAGGTGTCCATCTGGGAACGCATCGTAATCATATGGGCAGCGTCTCAAATTCGAATGACATGTTGGATTGTCGTCATGTGAAAACTGCTATGCTCCAACACGGGCTCACGACATGCATGTCCCATTTGCCGAACGGGCAATTGTGATTTGCATGGGCTCCGCGCGGGAGCCGTGTAGATTTCATGACGGTTCGAAAGAAGAATGCTTCCACCTGAACGCATCATCCATGTGCACATCTGGCGTGTCGCTATTTGACATCCGCACGATCGCAAAATCTCCACATGCGGGCTCCAGGAGCTGGGCTGCAACAACGTATGTCTGGCTTGTGGGACCGTCACTCTCCAATGGGCAATTGCGCCGCTTCCATATGGCAACTGCATTGCTGCAGCGTGTTCCTGGCAACTGAAATTGGAAGCAATCGTAGTTGTAGTGATGCGTTAGCGTCGTACTAGAATGAGTGGTGCGAGTGGTCGCAGACGTAGTCATGCGTGCGGTAGTAGTAGTAGTAGCAGTAGTAGTAGTAGTAGCAGCAGTAAAAGTAGTAGTAGTAGTAGTAGCAGCAGCAGCAGTAGTAGTAGTAGTAGTAGGAGTAGTAGTAGTAGTAGTAGTAGTAGCCGCCGTAACAGTAGAATTAGTAGCAGTAGTAGTAGTCGCCGTCGTCGTAGCAGTGGTATAAGTACTACTACTACTACTACTACTACTACTACTAATAATAATAATACTACTACTACGACTACGACTACGACTACTACTACTACTACTACTACTACTACTACTACGACTACGACTACTACTACTACTACTACTACTACTACTACTACTACTACTGCTACGACTACTAATACTATTACTATTACTATTACTACCAGTGGTAGTAGCAGTGTTGATAGTAGTAGTTGTACTGGTGGCAGTCGTAGCAGTAGTAGTAGTAGTAGTAGTAGTAGTAGCAGTCGTAGTAGTAATAGAAGATAGTGGTGGAAGTAGTAGTAGTAGTACTAGTCGTAGTAGTAGTCGTAGCAGCAGTAGTAGTAGTAGTAGTAGTAGTGTTAGTAGTAGTACTAGTAGTAGTAGTAGTAGTAGTAGCAGCAGTAGTAGTAGTAGCAGTAGTAGTAGTAGTACTACTACTAGCATCGGTAATAAAAGTAGAGTAGTAGTAAAAGGATGAGGAGGAGTAGTAGCTGTCGTAGCCGTAGCAGTTGTAGCAATGGCAGCAGTAGTAGTAGAAGAAGAAGAAGAAGAAGAAGCGGTGGCAGTGGTGGTGATACCAGGAGTAATAATGATAGTAGTCGTCGTGGGAGTGGTAGTGGTAGTCGTCCTCGTAGTCATAAGGTGGCAGTAGTAGTAAGTAGTAGCACGGGCAGCAACAATAGCAATAGTAGTAGCAGTAGTTCCAGTACGGGTACTAGCAGTAGTAGTAGTAGTAGTAGTAGTAATGCTAGTGCTAGTAGTACTTGAAGTGATAGTAGTAGTAGTAGTAGTAGTAGTAGTAGTAGTAGAAGTAGTAGTAGTAGTAGTAGTAGTAGTAGTAGTAGTAGTAGTAGTAGTAGTAGTAGTGGTAGTAGTAGCGTCACCCGCCGCCTTCGAGTAGCGCTACAAGTCGCCTTCTTGTACCATTATGGTATATTGCCTCTGTACACGCTGCGTCGGAGAAGTAACAGAAAGGGGGCGTGTCGCACGTCACCCTTGTGCCTCTTGGATTCCGATTGAATACCTATTGTATTCCGAATGTAATCCGATTGCATTGGGTCCGAATGTACTGTTTGTTTTCACGTGGTGTCCTATTGTACTGCGAGTGTGTTCCGACTGTATTCCTATTGTACCCCTGTTGCATGTATGTCGAGTGTCGTGCTGTGTTTCTTACTGCGTTCATAGTGTTTTCTTGTTGCATTGCATTGCTACTGTACTCCTATTGCCGTCCTTCTGTATTCCTATGTAAGTTGTGTTGTAATATTGTTGTTTTCCTAATGTGCTCCGTGTATTCGTATGTCCTTCCTGTTGTAGTGTTTCCATGGTGTACTCCTATTGACTGCCGATGTTAGTCCTATGGTGTTGCGTTCGTCTTGCATTCCTACCCTACCCGCTTTTGTTTATGATTGCATTCCTATTATGGCGACTGCACTCTCATATGATTCATGCTGCAGCCCTATTGTACCACAGTCTCATTGTGTTGCATTGAACGCCGAACCCGAAGACGAACCCGAACCCGAAGACGAACCCGAAGACGAACGGAAGTCTTAGTGATGAATGTCGCAGGAGCACGTGTAAGTGTGGTAGCGGAATGCTTAGGAAACCTTCGGAGTCCCTGAGGAATCCTTCAGGATCCCTGAGGAGTCCTTTAGGAATCCTCATGAATCCCTTCGGAATCTAAAGGAATCCCCCACGAATCCTGGGGTCCCGGAGGGATTCTGAAGAAGTTCTAGGAATCCATAGGAACCCTTAGGACACCAAGAGATATCCATAGGAATCGATCGGGATCCTTACTCTGGGTTTCTTGATAAACGTGGGGGGGTACCCCCCCGACGGGGGTTAACCTCGCCTCGTCGTCGCGCTGCGACGGGGGTCGAAGCGCCGTGCGGTGGCTGCCCGCGACGGGGCTCGGTGTGGGGCTGTCGGCGGGGGTGACGCCCCCCCGACGCTTATTAAGAAACTCGGAGTAGAAAATTCACAAGGAATCCCTTCGGAGTCCTGAAGAATCCCTTTAGAATCCTTCAAAATCCCTTGGGAAACTTCCTTTGGAATCCTCTCGGAATCCCATCGGACTCCCTAGGAACCCCTCAAGAAGAATCCTTACACATCCCTTAGGAATCTGGGGAAGACCAAGAATCCCTCAGGAATCCCTTCGGACATCCTCAAGGGGTTCTTCTGAACTGCTGAAGACTCCACTACAGTGTATGAGACATCCCTCTAGCATCCCAGAGGAATCCTTAGGAATCTGAATCGATTGGGATTGGTACTTGTCTGGTCGGAAATAGCCTGGGAATGCTTGGAATCCGTTCCAACGCAATTGGAATCCGTCCGTTTTTGGGTCAGGTCAACTCCCCGCCGTCCCTGCCAGCAGCGTCAGAAAGCGCTCTGTCCGTCCTTGGGAAAGGGGTCGAGAAGACCGGGGACAGCGCTTACAAAAACACGACATCGGAAAACTGGTCAAACAGGCCAGCGGGTGATGAGGATTTCCACCAGAACGGCGTAGGTGGCCTAACGATGTTCTCCTTTTCCTCTTCTGTGTAAAGCTGTCTGGGGTCGTCTGCCTCAAGGGTGACGGCTTCGACGCCCAGCACGGGCCCTCAGATGCAGAGAGCTGCCCAACACCTTCATTGTGATTTTTGGCACGAAGTGAAGAAGGCTCTGGGTCCAGGGGTCGAAAATCGACCCTCAGGCCTGTACTGGAGTGCGTTTGCCCAAAAATTCGAGGAGATTCCAGCAGTGTCGACAAACAAGAGGTCTCCCCGAGTCCCAAGAAGGGCGAAGAACATCAAAATACGTCGATCCTCGATCCTCGATCCTCCACTTCCACCTCCTCCTCCTCCTCTTCCTCCTCCTCCTCGGCCATCGATCCAAAGACCGTCTCCATCATAGATGCTTGATCCAAACGCCGGCTCGATCGTCGATGCTGGTCCGTCTCGATCCAATAACATAAATGCCGATGTTGCCCCGAGCAGACAGCGGTCCATCCTGGGCAGGCGACGCTTGTCCCGAATGGACCACGTCCTCGGCGACACCGACGGTGAGCCCTCTTCGGAGTGCACAGGAACTGCTGGTAAGCGTGTTTTTTGTTCTGGGTTTCGTTTGGCCGAAGGGTGGGGGAGGGTCGGGGAGACGCAAGACTCGGGTTCGGGGGACTCGGATTGGCCTGACGGGGCCAGCATGAAAAGGAGGAGCTCCCCTCTGGAACTTGACGCGAGCTCCCGCTGCAGACATCCCGCGAACACCGAGTCGTCAAAATCCGGGGGCGCGCTCGTCCAAAAGCGCCAGCAGGCCCGGGTCCCGGCGCTCTCGAGCCCGACGCTTCCCCGAGAGAAGGGGGGGGGGGTGTCTGGGGGTCTGGGGGTCTGGGCTGGCTGGTGCTTCATCAGTCGATCTGCTTTTTTGCCGGTCGCGCCAGCAGACCGGGGAGAAGGATCCTGACCAGTCGCCAAAGGCAGCCGCCAGAAGCAGACAAGAAGTGGACTATGATGAGGTCTGGCATGTCCCCCTGCAGGCGGATTTTGGGTGAAAAATGAAAAAATACGGAGAGAAAAAAAACTAATGGTAAAAATATATACCAAAAAACCGTCCCCTGACAAGTTTTTGCTATTCTTGAATATTCCTCCTGTAGAGGGGCATGCCCGACTGAAGTCTATGAGAGGGGGGAGGGGGGAGGGACGGGTGCCCGCGCCGATCGGCGAGACAGTGAATGAAAAACGGCGACCTGTTGGTGTTCGTCCCCATCTCCATCCACGACCCCGGCCTCACCTGAGCCCCGCAACCATCTGACCTCACCAGAATTTGGCGGCGCGCAACAGGCGGGTCAGGGGGAAGGCTTCTCAAAAGGAGGCTGCTTCTTGGAAGGCGCCCGCCCTGCATCTGCAGACGAGGCGCGCGCCCTCCGAGCAGCAGGGGTGCTGCAGAGAAGCCTCACCCCCTCCCTGGGCACGCCCACAGGCACCCATACCGCCACGCTCCACGGCACTCTGCTTGGGTGCGCCCTGACCAGAAGATGCAAGGCGGATCCGGCGGTGCAGCGAGGGACCCCCAGGAGGCCGAGAAGGGGACACACGAAGAGAAGTAGCGTGAGGTCGGGCATGTCCCCCTACAGCCCGATTTTGAAAGAAAATACCAGATTCCCGAAAAAATATACCAAACATGACCAAACATGTGTTGTTGTATGTTCACTTGTGTTAGTTATCTTGTTTCTGTATATATATATAAGTGTGTGTGTATATGATTGTGCTTATTGTTTGCACTGAACATTTCAAAACAACAATGAGGAGAAAAAAAAAAAAAAAAAAAAACTCCCCAGACTAAATTTTGACTATTTTTGAGTTTCCCTCCTGTAGAGGGACACGCCGGACTTGACCCTACACCCCCCTGCGCGTGGCCGAAGAAGATCGGTGACGTACCACCGGGTGCCCCTCTTCGGCGGTGGACGAACCTCCCTTTAGTAAACCTCCCTTTATTGAAAACGGCCTAGGACCGAAACCGACGGACCTGGACCCGCACAAATGACGGCCGCGACGCCCTCTCGCGAGCCGAAAACGGCCAATGCGCTGATCGACGTGTCAGGGTAGGAGGTCTGTCAACCTCCACTGGCTGGCCCTCCCGCCCCGCCCACCCCACCCCGCGCCGCTGCAGGCCGCTACCGCTGGTCCTCCCTCCCGGGGAACCCGAGGGCCGCCCGTGCGCGATCCTCCACCTAAGACGAAGCCAGGACGAGGACACCTTCGGGTGCAGTGGAGGCCAGTCCACAAGAAACCTTACACAAGAAACCCGACCCTGAGACCCCAGGACGTCCATGGAACTTTGGCGCGAGAACGTCGCGCGCTCCATCGCAAAGCCACCGAACCCCCGAGAAACCCGGGGCACCCTTGAAGGGGCCCTGGGACACACAAATAAATACACACAAATAACAAGATTCCCCATATTTTCCTGTATTTTCTGGGGTTCTGTCTTCCCCCACACTTCCCATACTTTCCCCTATTTTCTGGGGAATCGACGATTCATTGTGTCTGTGTGTTTTTTGCCCTCCTGAACCCTGGAGGCGAGCAGGGCGCTCCTCGGCATGGGCCCCCACAGCGAGACCAAGCAGGGACGAGGACGCCTGCGGGCGAGGAGACCCTCGGGCGAGGACGGGCTCGCCTGGGGACACAACGCCGGTGGCCGACCCCGCCCCCGCCCGAGACTGAAGGGGCCCAGGGACACACAAATAAATACACACTTTTTCGATTCGCGGGTCGAGAGCGCGCCTCTTCCCGTCGAAGCTAAGCGGGCCGCGCGAAGCTTGAATTAACAAAGAGGGGGGAAATAAATACACACACGCACAAATCCCAATCCCAGGATCCCCCACATTTTTCCATATCTGTTGGATGCTCGTCTCCCCCCCACTTCCCATTGTTTCGCGTATTTTCCTGAGAGTCGACGATGGATTGTGTCTGTGCTTTTTTCCCCTCCTGAGAGACGAAGCCAGGACGAGGCAAACCCAGACGAGGCCAGACCGAACAGCTTCTCAGATCCGCCGGCTCTGGAGGATGTCTCGGGCACCGCGGCCCTCTCAGAGCGTTCCGGAGCGCTATGAGCGCGTTCCAGGACGCTCTGGAACGGACTTAGCGTCGCCCTAGCCCCGTCCGACCGCTTCTAGGTAGCCAGACATGGGAGCCTCAGGTAGTCGCACGGGCGCCCAGCTAGTGAGATCTCGTGCCCCCCACCACACCCACACTAAAATCCCACATGAGCACCCACGACATCCAACTACATCTCGTGGAACCATATTTTGACAGACTCTTGGGTCGAACAGAAGCTCCCATGCTTGGCCACGTAACCTAGAAAAGGAAAAAACGCCATAACATTAACTTTGGTCGCTCCGCGCGGATTTCTTAGATCCGCGCTAGACCCCCCGCGCCAGGGGCGGGGCCGGAGGCGCCGCGGGGGGGGGGCCAGACGCGGATCCAAGAAATCCGCGCGAAGCGCCAACAGTTTATGCTTATGGCGTTCTTTTCTTCTTCGACAGAAGCTCCCATACTTGGCCACCTACAGCGGGGGCCGGACCACTAGAAACCTTCCACAAGAAACCCACCCCTGAGACCCCAGGACGGCCATTGGTTTTTTGTATGGGAACGCCACGCTTCCCACAGCAAAAACGTCGAAACCCAAGAAACTCGGGGCACCCTGGAGGCAAGCAGGCAGGGCGCGCCTTGGCATGGGCCTCCCCTGGAACCACCCCCGCCTTGCCTGGAGCTGCCGCAGGCGGTCCTCCCGGTCCGCGGCGCAGGCGGCGGCCCCGGCCGCCGTCTTCCCCGCGCCTCTCGACGGGGAGTGGCGCCGCCGTGGTCGCCGCTCGTCGCCGCGCGTTCGCCCGTCGCCGCCGGGCCCCGTCATCGTCGCCGCCCGTCGTCGTCCCGTCGTCTTCCGTTGTCGCCGCTCGTCGCCGCTCCTGCCCCGAAGACCCACTGATCTCCAAAATCTGCGTGCGAAGATCTGCCCCGGAGGCCCGCCGTGACTCCCGCTCTGCGGGCTCGCTGCGGACTCCATTCGGCGGGACCCCGTTCCCTTTTCCTGAAGGAGGTTTCCTTCGTAGCGGTTCTCGGACAGCTCTGCGCGAAGGAAACGCAGCGCGTCTTGAGCGCAACCACCCCATCGGCTGACACGCACCAGCCTTACCAGTTGACTGCCTCCTGCAGTCGAGTCCGCAGCCGCTCAACGGCTACCCGAGGCTTCTGCATAGTCTCCTGCCGCCATCCGCTTCCCCTTCCTTAGAGGATAGAGGCCTCATAGGTGGGGTCCGAGTAGATGGGGTGGGAGGACGCGCCGCATCGCCGATGCATCGGCGACGTCAGCGGTACCATCGGCGCCATCTTCGTGGAGAAAACCAGGCTCCGCATCGAGCCGCATCGCCGATGCATCGGCGCTGCGGCGCGATCCTCCGACCCCGTCTCCTCCGACCCCATCTGGGAGGCCTGGAGAGGAAGGAAAAACCTGCATAACCTGACACTTTCGGAGCGGAACTCTGAAAGCTGTTTTACGCAAGTGCAGTGGAGGCCAGTCCACAAGAAACCTTCCAAAAGAAACCCAACCCTGAGACCCCAGGACGACCATTGATTTCTGGTGTGGGAACGCCACGCTTCCCACAGCAAAAACGTCGAAGCCCAAGAAACCCAGGGCACCCTGGAGGCAAGCAGGGCGCTTCTTGGCATGGGCCTCCACTGCAATTGTTCTTCGAGCCGTCCTGCGTGGATGGGCCCTGAGCCACCTCACCAGAATCCCCACCCCCACGGGGGCTCAAACAGGGGAAAGGTTTGGAGGCGATTAAGGGGCCTGAGCTGATGGGACACGAGAAAATCGGTCATGACGGGGGTAGGGGCAAATCCACTCAAAATCGGTCCCTGGACCCCTCACAAAGTCTATCTGGCGCAAATGTCCACCCTGGATCTGGTTTTGACGGTCCCGGGGCCCGAAAACGACCCCCAGAGACCGAAGAAGGAGGAGAAACAAAAAACACAAAAACTCGAGCCCAGAACCTGGAAACTCTCACCCCTCCCCACGTTTGCTGGCCGGGGCCACCTCAGACCCTCATGGGCCCTGTCCCATGGAGCTTCGCAGAAGCGCCACGGCACAGGGCAACGCACAATGTACATTGTTCCTGCCAGTCCCCGTGATGAAACAAATCCGCAGGCCCCCTTGTGGGGCCATCAGGCTGCGAGAATTAAGCTTGCTGTTCCCTGCACCAGTTCCAGTTTCCAGTTTCCAATGTTACAATCCTGCTTTCGGCTTCCCACTGTGAGTTGTTGAAGTCCGCGTGAAGGGGAGGGGGGGGGGCCGAAAAGGACCCGGCTACCACCCCCGAATCGCATTCTCTGAATTCCTGCGGGGCTGTGGGACAAATAGAAATACATGAGATTCGCGCTCCCAACGCTATAACCCCTCGCAAATTACAGTGCGCTCGCGCCCCCGAGGCTATGATCCCTTGCAAATTGCACAACATTCGCGTCCCCGAAGCCACGATCCTTTTGTAAAATACCCCATATTCGCGCCCCCGAGGCCACGATCTCCAGAAAATTACACTACATTCGCGCATCTGGGGCCACGATCCCCAGTCAATCACACGCGCCCCTGAAGCCTCGATCCCTCGTAAATTCTACACTGTTCGCGCCCCCGAGGCAAGCCACCCTTTGAGAACTCGCTCGGGACAGGTCCGCACCCACACCGGCCTCGGACCCGACGCGGTGCTGGGGCCGAGCGGCGGCCAGCTCGGGAGAGGGGAAGAAGCCCTTGGGTCCAGCGCCGCTGGCCCCCCGTGCTGAGTACAAGGCAGGTTTTAATCCATAGGATGTTCAATACACTGGATTCTTTAATAATGACAAATTTACGAATAAATCAACGCATCAGCATTGATTTTCAATGCAGCATTGCTTTTAAACGGCACTGTACACTGACGACCAGCCCCCCCCTTCTCCCGCGGCCCCCGCGGAGACCTCGACCTGCCCCAAGCAACGACAATCACCCCCCCCCACGGGCAGCTCCGCAAGGGGCCCAGGGACGGCGGGCGGGCGCGAACGCAGCGGCAACCCCGCGGGGTCGCCGCAAACTCTCCTGCGCCGATATCGCAATGAGCTGTTCCTGCGTGCGGCGCCGCTCGCGCGAGGCGCCACGTCGGCAGGGCGAACTGTGCGCGCGCTCTGGATTTGCACCTGCGCGCAACGCCGCTCGCGCGCGGCGCCGCGTCGGCAGGGCGACCTGCGCGCGCAACTCCCCGCAGCGGCATCTGGCGCCACACACACACACACACACACACACACACGTGCTGCGACCGAGCGGCCTACCTGCGCAACCTCAATCTCGGGTTAGCAAGGGCAGCGGGCTTCGACGGTGCCTCAGTCCATTCCGACATCAGTAGGTTCTACGAGAGATTACGAGAGGACTGACCGCGACGTCCTCAGGAGAGCTGCTGAGGCGCAGGGTTCCCGCACCTGGTTGGCGAGAGTGCCGCGCGCGGCCTATTCGGGTCCGAGGCGAGCCGCAGCCGACAGGGCAGTGAGCGAGGTCATCGCTGTGCATGGGGCGATCATTGCGGGCTGTGCCTGCGCCGAAGCCCCCCCACCCCCCTCTGCGCGTGGCCGACTTTTGCGGGCGGGCCTTGTGGGGATGGGAAAGACCGCGGCCGTAACCGATGCTGCCAATCGGAGCCGAGCTGCCCTCCGCCTCTGCAGCCAGGGTTGTGGCCAAGGGGCGATGAAACCAACGCTGGGCCTTCCTTGCTCTGTCGGCCCCGTGCACCGCCAGGGTGGTGAGAAGCTGGGCCAACCCCCGTGAGGCAGGACGAGGCGGGGAGTGCCCACAGTGGCCGGCGCATCCCTTGCCGTTCGAGACGGTCTGGACACTCCCTCTGCGCGTGGCTGAAAGAAGTCGGGGGCTGGGGGGGAAAGAGGAGGTTGAGGAGGAGGAGGAGGAGGAGGAGGAGGAGGAGGGGGAGGAGGAGAAGGAGGAGGAGGGGGGGGGGAAGATCGCGTGCGAGAGCGGTCGTGCCGATGCCGCCCGACGGGCCCGGGGCCCCCCCGGCCGGCCTGCCGGCGGAGGAAGCGGTCTGGCGGACGGACCGACGGACGGACGCAGCGACGACGTCGATGACGACCTCGACGACGACGACGACGACGACGACGACGACGACGACGACGACGATGACGTCGACGTCGATGACGACGTCGACGACGTCGACGACGACGGCGACGACGACGACGACTACGACGACGACGACGACGGCGCGTCAGAATCGATGCCGAGTCGGATCGTTCGCATCGAGACGGGCCCTGGAGCCTCGCTTCTGGACGCCCGAAATGGGTCCGGCAAGAGTGGGTACAACGCCCAACACCAAATATTGTCCCTAACCCACAGCGGCCGCTGTTGGGCGGGCGGGCTGGTGTCGTCAAGGTAGGGAATCGAACTCTATACACCGACGTTTTTTCCAGCCCTGTATTGAAATTTGCACTGGAGAGCGGATCCTGGTGTATGCGGGACCCTGGTGTATACACGTTTCGTTGCTTCCCCGGGACATCGGGGAAAAAAATATACACCACACCACCCCAGCGTCGCCCCCGACCCTCAAGAAGTCCTGGGATTGAACAACAGCCCGCAACTGGTAATGTAGATGTTCCAGTTTCCGACAGTGGACAACGTCCGCGGCGGCGCGGACAGCGGGTCATGTGCAAAATGAGCAGGAGCTGCTGCTGGGCTTGTTGTCCCCATCCTACTTAAGGACCACATCCCAGAAATAATTTCGAGCACCCGGAAAAGTGTCGAAAGAGTGTCGAAACAGTGTCGAAGCAGTGTCGGGCGAGTGTCTCCCAGGGCCCGGCACGTTAAAACCCTTGAGTTTCGGTACTTTTTGGGGCGCTCGAAATTCTTCCTGGTGGTCAAGGCTAAAGTAGGTTGGAGCATCATAATGCTGGGCATCGTTCCCCCTTCTTTCCGTACCCGCATCGCCCGTCCGGACCGCTAGCGCGCGCGCGCGAGGACCAGCCCGCCCCGCCTGGCCTGGCACCTCGACGCGCGCGCTTCTGGAGGGCCCGGCGCCCGCCGGCATGCTGGGCGTTCTTGCAGCGACGGTGGGGCCGGGCGTGTCCCGCCAGGGCGACGTACCCAGATATAGAGAAGACGAAGCCAGGAGTGAAGGTACTCCTTCACCTCCTCAAAGTCCTCCTCCACCTCCTCGACCTCCTCCTCCTCCTCCTCCTCCTCCTCCTCCTCCTCCTCCTCCTCCTCCCCCTCCTCCTCCCCCTCCTCCGGATGTGGGCCACTGGCTGCGCTCAACCCTGAACGCCCGCGCTGGGGCCGCTACCGCGTCGACGCGACACAAACCTGCCGTTAGAGGTCGGGCATGTCCCCCTTCAGGCGGACTTTGGAAGAATAAAAAAGAACACATCCGAAAACATTCAAACATCGCCGAAAATTGCAGAAGCATCGTCCCCCGACTATTGTTCCACCACTCTTGGATGACCCTCCTGCGCTTAGAAGGATCTGCCCGACTGAAACCTGCCGCCGTAGCCCCCAGGAGCCGGCGCAGGGGCCAGGGTCCCGGCTGCAGCGCGTGCGCGCGGAGGCCGCTGCCGCTCGGGGGGCGCACCCGCGCCCTCTGTGAGCGGGGGGCGCGAGGCTCCCTCGCTATATTAGGGTACGCCTGCTCCCAGGGGGGCACGCATGGTCTGCCCCGAGTAATAGAAGACAAAACTGCACAAAAATAAACTGTTGGCTCTCCAGGCGGATTTCTTGGCTCCGCGCTGGACCCCCTCCCTGGCGCCCAGAGCGCCAGGAGGCGCCGCTGGAGGCGCCGCCGGGGGGGGGGGGCCCAGCGCGGATCCAAGAAATCCCGCGCGGAGCGCCACCAACAGTTGATGTCTATGGCGTTTCCCCTTCTTCGAGGGACGGCTGGTCCGCGGCGTGCCGACGTGGCCGGAAGCAACGAACCGCAGCGGGTCTCACGCACAGGTGGTACAGCGACCCTGCGCCGCAGATTGCGCGGCCCGCACGGGCGGCACGCCACACCGGGAGCGAGGGCGCTCGCGCGCGGCCTCGCGCGGAGACCCGTTCGCGCGAGTGTCGGCGCAAGCGACCCCAGTCTCGTGCGTCGCCTGCGCGGGTTTGCGTGACACCACGTGCAATATTTTATCCTGAGCGATCTCCGCTATCCGACAAGAGGTGATCGTTCCGAGGATTGGCCCAAATGAGGGCGCCAGTGGACTTCAACCCTTGAGCACCCGCATCGGCATCGCCGCCGCGTCGACTCGGCGCGAACCTGCCACGCATATTCCAACAGGGGGGGTGAGCTTGAAGTCGGAGGCCGCCTGGGGTGAGTGATCCTGACCAGAGTGCCCGTTTCGGGCAGCGGGGTCCAGAATGCGCTGGACCCCCAGACTCGCCATCGCTCGGACGTCCATCCTAACTGTGCATGTTGGGTGCAGGAGGAGGAGCAGGAGGAGGAGGAGGAGGAGGAGGAGGAGGAAGAGGGGGAGGAGGAGGCGACGGCTCTTCGCCCCATTCGGAGTGGGGGGTGACCTCGTCAAGGAGAAGAAGGAGAAGAAGGAGAAGAAGAGGAAGAAGAAGAAGAAGAAGCAGAAGGAGAAGAAGAAGCAGAAGGAGAAGAAGGAGAAGAAGGAGAAGAAGGAGAAGAAGGAGACGAGGAAGAAGAAGAAGAAGAAGGAGAAGAAAAAGGCCCCAACGGGGCAGGATCACTTTGGGGCCCCTGCTGGCTCCCAAGGGGACCGCAAGGGTCCCCATTGAGAACCGTGTTCTCCCTCCCTTCATTTGGGCCCCCCCCCCCCCAACCAGCAGGTCTTGGGCGTGTCCTCCTGCAGGGGGATCCTGGGCGAAACATTGGCAATACCCAAAAATACGCCCAAATAGCAATAAAATGCTCAAAGATTACTCCCCCGACTATTTTTTGACTATTTTTGAACACTCCTCCTGTAGAGGGACAGGCCCGACTTATAAGACCACTCTGGACCCCCATGGGCCCTCCGTGGCCTCGCGACAGGGGTGCTCCGCATGGCCACCCCGGGCCTCTCCCCAGAGCGCGAGAGGGAGGCCCCGGCCCCCGAGGGACGAGAGAAGAAAGAGGGGCTCTTCCCGCGAAGATGTGTCAGCGCGATTGTTGAGCAGGGGCCGACCGTCCCGGCATTCCTATAGTCCTACCACGAAATGTTCCCAGAACCCAAAAATGTCCTAAGAACACAAACGATGTTCTTAGAACAGAAACCCGATGTATACAAACAAGACAGAGTCCGCCAAACATGTTCCAAGAACATTTCATGGGAACCACAGAAGGTTCTTAGAACATTGTTTGGTATGGCTATAGGCGAGCTTGTTCTGTATGGCTATAGGCGAGCCAGGACGCTTCGCCACTGTTTGAGATTCGGCAGCCACATGTAGTCGAGCGCGTTCTACGACTCGCAGGATTCGCGATCCATTATATCGAGGCAACCATGTGCTGCTTTTGCTTACTCGGGGGCGCGCAAACATGGATTAGCGACCCATGGAATTGGCGCGCGGTCGCCAAATCCATGGATCGGAGGAGGTGCCCTCCCCAAAATGCGGCCAGTGCCGCCTCGCTCGGTGGCGGAAATCCGCGATTTCCCATGGAAGCGGGACCCGTCGCTAATCCACGCCCCCTTGATCCATGTTTGCGATCGCCTGAGCGTTCTACGACTCGCAGGATTTAAGATCCACTGCGCCGAGGCAACCATGCGCTGCTTTTGCGTATATCTGCGAATCGGCATTTTGCGAATAGTGAAACGCGCCCGGTGAAACTGCGAACCCTACCCGCAGGTCAGATTTCTGCAACGCCGGCTGGGGTTCAGAGGCCGAAGAAAGCTTGCAGCCAGGCGCTCCCCCCGGCGAGGGTGTCCGATGCCCCGCGAGGGCTGGACCCGCAGGGGTAGGGCTCGCTCGCAGAATCTCGCTGCGTGTCGCGCCTTGCGCCACGGGCCAACCTCTGGCGGCCTCCAAGCCTGGGGACGCAGGAGCGCTCGAGGGCTCGGGCGCTGCCGCGGGCGCACGGTCGCGCGGGCGCGCGGGCGCTGCTGCCCGCGAATAATCCCAGCCCTCCTCCCCCTCACTCTTTGTCCCTCCGACCTCGTTTCGCGCCCCCCCCCGCACCCCTACCTCGCCAAAATACAATGGAATTCTTCACCATGCGGAACGTCACCCACACTGCGCGTGCCAATCGATTTCGGGATTTTTGGTTTCTGAGACCAAGTTAGGCGTCATGTAGGGCGAATTTGAAATAGCTGTTTTTCTTCGCAGCTGTTTTTCTTCGCATCATGAATTCCATGGACATAGAGCTGGCGTCTGGCAACTGCCGAGTCCTCCATCGGCTGTCAGAAAGGAAATGCCCAATGGTCACGTGGGAGGTCTGGTGGCGGAGTGGCGGGCACGCGCTGTGACCCCTCTGTTTGAATTTCGCTGCGCCACGCGAGTGTCCATCGCCAGGTGGGTAGAACACGCTGCTCACATGAACCCGGGCAGCATATATCCTGCTCTCGTGTGGCTCTCGGAATCGCTAGTTTGAGATAAAGTGGGGCACGAAAAGATCAATAGTAGCGCTCGGCCTCGTGCAAGGGAGGGCCGCAGGCTGGAGTGGGGCACGGATGGATTTGGCGATGTTGCCAATGATGATTGTGGTCGTGATATTCATATGTCAATTTGCGCTGGTGATCGTGTTTCGTGGTAGTACACATGATGGTGAAGATGATGATTCAGACATGCACGGCTCAGGCAATGACGATAGCGATGATAGCGGGTGGTGGTGATAGCAGTGGTGCTGCTAATGTCATGGCGACCTGGTGATGGTGATAATGACAATGATCACGACGATGTTGATGGTGTTCTTCGTTGTTTAGGCAACCTCCCTGAAACCACTCACAGAAGCGGTAGAAATCAACGATGGCGATTCGCTTCAGAAACGCCGCCTCCAATGTGAACGCGCGTTTGTGGCCCGCAAAACCAGCCACTTCCCCGTCAGCGACCCAAGTGAACAACAAACCAGGGCGCTCAACCGCCTTGAATGCAAGCCAGTCGGCGCGCTCAAGCTCCCAAGCACAACCCTTCGTGATTGCCACTACCTTCCCCGGTGAATTGCGAAAATGGCCAGGGCTCGCAGCAGTGCCAAGGCTCGTGAATATAGTTCTACCGATGTGAAACATTGGCTGCAATGTATGAAGGCACCAGAGAGCACCAGGCCGGGGCTCATCTGGCAAGCACCCCGAAACGCCGAAGCAGCGGTCACATTCGTAGTTGCGTGGCCTGGCGTTTGTTCACAGCGAGAACGCTGGCCGCGCGGGATAGGCCCAGCGCAATGTTTTTTTTTAAGCGAGCGCCAGCGCTAGAGGCCTACTGCTGACACTTGCTCCAACAAAAGCAGATGCGCCACGTGACGACCTCAGAACGCTTCTACTGGACGTCATTTCGAGTGTTGCTTGAGCGCGCGCCGCCTTGCGTTCCCTTGCACGCACGTCCTTGATTCTCTTGGCGCACTTGGCCAGAAGAGTGCGCTCGAGCGCGGGCGTGACCTCATGCTTGAGCAACGTGCGTTCGCCCAGTGCGTCCACGGCCTTCGCTCGTACCTTCTGGAAATGCAATTCCCCGTCGCGCGAAGCGCTCCAATCGGCGCCGCGCTGCACAACGCCAGGCGGCCCATCGCCCGACTTCGCAGCAGTTGGAAGCTCACGGGTAGAGAATTCGGCCGCTGCGCGGCGCTTGGCGATGAAAGCTGTTTCCGAATTCATCGCCGTCTTCCTCCTGGCGCCCCTGCTAAGACGGCCAAGGGGGTCCTGCTTCCGCGGGGTATGTAGGCATCCTGCCGCGCGCGCTGGGCACAAGGCACAAGCTTCTTGATGTCATGTCCACGCACATCGAATTCTAATGTAGAATCAACTCCTCCGCCCCAGGGCGGCACGGCAACCTCTCGTTGCCCATTGCCAGATCACCCTTACCGAAGCCCTGCTCAACGCCAGACGTGCTCACACCAAAACCCGCGCACGCGGCCACAGCCTTGCGAATGACGTCGGCGGAGTGGTGCGCGGCCACGCGAGGGAGGCGGGCCTGGGCCAGGACCATAGACCACGCATCCACATCCGAGGCCGAATCAGTCCATCGAGCCCTGGTTCGAGGGAACGTATCTTGCCATTGCGCGTGTAGCTGCGCTCTGGGCACGACCGCTAGCCCCCCGACCAGAGAGGGCAACTTGGCGCTCAATCGGGGCGCGATTTGGCTGAGTCGGCCCCTGACTATTGAACCGAACCGGCTCAGTGATAAGCCACGGGATGGGGCGCCTCGACCGCAACCAAAACACAAATGTTGAAAGTTGGTGTTTCTTGCTTCTAGAAAGAACAGTGAGTCCAGAGAACAAACAGAAGAAACACGTCTGCGAGTCCAGGTGGTTCGCGATTGTTTCGCAACTCGCGCGTACGGGTGTTGAGCAAAGGCGGAGGGCGGAAGCCGTCGCATTGAGCGCTTGCGCCAGCCTGGCGACGTGATCCCCTGGGTCCTTATGCACGGGCTTGCCCGCGTCAGAATCTGGAATGCCTAAGCGGGCATCCGAAGAACCAGTCTCAAGCATGTCGTGAGCAGACACCCACGAAAGCACTTGGTATCTGGCATCTTCACACCCCCGCCGCGCACCTGCGAGATATCCCGGCTGGGGAACGCAGCTTTCAGGGTTGCACGAGCTAAACTAATACGTAAACCCATCCTTCCCACGCACCGATCATTTACATCTTCTGGGGGCCCGCTTTCATCACCCAGTACGCAAGTGTCTTTTCCGATGTGCCACACCAGTTGGTCCTTGCGTAGTTCCACCATGGTGAACGCGTATCCAAAGACTGCCAATCACTGCTTCTCACAAGAGAGAGCTGTAATTGATAGACTGAATGTTTGAGTCTCCTTTTCCAAGCTTGCAGGACCCAGCTTCCCCGTATCCGTGCTGCGCATAAATGCCATCGCTTGATCACTTGCGCCCGCCAGAATGGCGGCCCTCAGACACCTCTCGCAATTCACCCAGAGCAACCACGTTTTTGCGCGATCCCTCGCATCC